TCACTCTACTACTAAGGAATCAAAGAGGCCATAACAGATCTAGCAGTCGTTTTGAACAATGATCATTAGGCGTTCCTTCATGAGCTGCACGCAAGATTCAAGCTTGAAGAGGTTGATCCGAGAATTTTCGACTCTCAGTTTTTTGAACACGCTCACTCAAACGCGGAATGCTGTATTACCGAATGCAATGGTATTTTCAGACGCTGATGACGTTAGTGCAGCTTCAAAACCAAGATTAAGCGAAGGAAGAAGCGCTATCACGAATGCACTGTATCGCTATATGTTACGCAAGAGAGACGCTGAAGAGGCTGGTGACAGGTATGCAAAAGTTTAGACGTAAGTAGATCAACTTAGATGATCAACTTTTGATGTCGCACTTTCTCTCTTCTCGCGGCGCTGTCTCTCTCCATCGTACACGGTCGACCTTACAAAAAGGGATGTCATAAATTGCGCTACATCCTGAGGCTCATTTTGCTTGTTTTTTTTCCTCAGTGACCTCTCTTCGTCTTACCTCTTTTTTGAGCGGAATAACACACAAATTCGATCGCGAGCTCTGCCCTCAAAGTCAAGTTTAGATTGACCACAAAGTGATGTTCAAGTCAGGACCTAACTTGTTGGTGGATCTCATTGCTACGAAACGTTACTGGTGGTATTCACAAGTCGTATGCGGCACTCTCACATGCCTTTAGCCAATTTTCGGGAGCCCCTTCGACTACTAATCGGTCGCTAGACATTTTTATCATAGCTCACAGAACTCAATCCCGAAACAAAGGTGAAGAAGTTCTTACATTTTGCCAGTCATGACCGTGCAAAAAAACTTCCCACAATTCTAGTGGTTTCAAACTTCACCAGCAAAAAACCCTCTGATTATGTATCGCTAGGCACAAACAGATTACCTGCCGCATTCGAGTGACGCGAAAAAAGGTGCTGCGATCTTCGAACAACAAAATGCCGACCAATTTTGTCGTCCGCGACGAGGGAAAATTCCAGTTGCCCGCGCAGTACGGAGCTATCTACATTTCTTTTCTGTTGCTCTACGTTACCTCATTCAGATAACAAGATAGCATGGACCAAAGCAGAAAATAGAAAAAAAGGATAAAGCATTTGCCGTTGATCAATCCTTTTTGGGATGCGGCACGCATTCTACTTCCATTTGTACATTCGTAGTGGCGTTTGAATGCGATGTGGCCTATACAATGACTTGCGGGGCCAGCCGTACAAGTCAGTGTTTTTATCCTCCCAGACAAGTCTGGTACCAATTAACCGACCCCGGAGGGATGGAAGGCTTGGTTGGCCCGGGCGACTCACGACCCAGGATTTGATCCCCGGACCGCTCGCGTGGTAAGCGTGCCACTTGCCACTACACCACTTCCGCCCAAAGTCAAAATATGAAAGGTAATAGAATCTCAAAACCTAACACATTCCTATCGTCGCACAGATGTGACTCAATCCTGATGATGCCTCTCTGGTACAATCTGTAAAAGCAGCCTACCAGCCCTTCCTTTGATTCACCATTTGTTACTCTACACTGTTCAGGCTCCGTAAATCGCTTCTTCTGTAATAAGTCTACGCTCCTTCCCTTCGCGTAATCGAGCTAGACGTAGTTTATTTGCCATAAACGGCGCAAATTCCAATGACATGACGATCTACAATGACAGATTCAAAAACCTGCTTCAGATTTGGACGTCTACTGCTACTCGGCACGGTGTTAGCAACAATGGCCGTGGAGAGATGGAAGGAACGCCGTACGTGTGGCGATTTCTTGATAAATTAAATTCACAACATTCGCAAACGTGTTGTTCGGTATCAAAAACGAGTAACTGGATCGGGTGGATGCACTACTCAATTTTATGGAGAAAATGTTCCCAGTGCTCCGATCATCTACCTCTACATAGAAACCGGTACAGCAAATTTCCTCAGGAATTCTAGGATCACCCCCATATGTGACAGAGATTCATGCGAGATTTACGGAACACTTTGCACACGTGTATAGCAAACCCTACGCTTAACCTAACCTCAGATATATCTTTTTATATAAACATTTCAGGTGAAAATATTACTTATTATCGTTCCGCTCCTTCGAGAAGATTTTTTAGGCTTCTATCAAAATATTGTATGAGGTTCTAGGAAGTTCTAAGTAGCCTTGCCGGCTTTTGCATTCTAGTTGCCCCACCAACAAAGGATTACCTTCTATTGCGGAGAAACGAGAAGGACGCCCCAAGCACACCACACACCACCCGTGACGACGGCCAAAAAAGAAGTGTCTTCCACTTTTTCTTTTCCTTGGTCGTCACATGCGGTGTATGGTCTGCACTCAAAACTCTTCTCATTTCCGAAATAGAGTATACTTTGTCGAGCTCAGGGTGAGTCGCAAATACAGACTCATCAGCACAAACGTGACACCAGATGTTCAACAACATCAAAAATCAGGGATGCTATCGATCCTTTCACGACCGTTCCTACGTGACTACTGGTGCCACAGAGCAGCTGTAACATATACTCTTTTCGAAAAACGAAAAAGGCGTCGGGTGCAGACCATACATCGCAAGTGACGACGGCCTCCACAAAATGTAAATGTTTTCTGTCAATGAAATGATCAGCCTATTGCAGTTGTATTCTTTTTCTGCCAATGAAATGGTTAGCCAGCTGCAGCTGTATTCTATCAGTTGTCATTAATTACAGCAATCATTTACCAATAATCAGCTACCACTATGAACCGCTAGTAACCAGATTTACATGGAGCCGTCGTCACTTATGATGCATAGTCTGCACCCGACGCTCTTCTCGTCTTTTGAAAGGGAGGGCACGTGGCAACGGCTTTGAAAGAAATCGGTACTATTCATGGTTGGAGCTGATATTGATATGATTCCACGTTGTGATCTTAAGACTTCATTCACACCAGCACCTGAGTACGAATAACAAGGTGCAATCTCACACCTACAAAAATGATTGTCCTTTCCAGCACGTTGTTTTTCGTTCACTTTGTACAAATTTCCAGACTATATTGACTTCACTGATCATTCTTCTAGCAGTATGAGCTGTCTATTTGAATTTGATTTTGTGACTACCTTGAATTGTGATAGAACATTAATTCGTTGATCTCAAGGATAAATAATGGTTACTGTTCTATTTGGTAGTACTGCATAAATATAAATAAAATAATAAAAAGTTGTATGTTTGTAGAACGAGTTGGGTTTCCTGAACAATTGGCATGGTAGAAGAATTGTAGCAGTGGCGCGCATATATGTAAACTAATACTACCCGCAATTTCGGAAAACGGAAGAGCGTCGAGTGCAGACCACACACCACAAGTTACGACGGCCAAGAAAAAGGAAAGAAAAGCCATTTTTTCTTGGCCGTCGTCACTTGTGGTGTGTGGTCTGCACTCGACGCTCTTCTCATTTTCCGAAGAAGAGGGTAGTTTGCAAGTTCGATTTCCCCCATTGCCGATCTCACCGTCAACCGTGTTGGATCTTGCGTAACGGCTCAAGCATTTGGAAAATACGTCAAATGCACACCTACTAGCAACCTAAATTCAACATCAGGGGTGTGTGCAGCAGTACCCAGCCAGGGATGGGTCGCCAAAATTCTGCATCTCTACTTCGGTCGATGACGCAGTCCTTATGGTCAAGAATGGGGGGCGAGGTAGGGGGACGCGCCCAGAGACGCAGTTCCCAAGACACATCTCCGGCCGGGATACTGCTGCGCACGGCCCCTGACTGGATAAGTATGATAAACTCGCATGCATAACCATGCAATATTTGAATGCCTTACAGCTCATGCAACGACATCCCGCAGATCGATGTTTATTTTTTGTTTATTGAACTTATTATCCCAAACAGCTTTTCTAGTGACCACATATAGCTTCTGCAGAATGAAGAAATAAGGCAGGTTGAGTGAGATTCAATAACGATGCGAGCTCAGCATCTAGCTTGGAGCTCACTGTGCGGGCTTCGCAGTTTTAGTTACCTTAAAGGACGAATTTACGATGAAAAAGCAACCCATTTCAAATTAACCTAGGGATGGTGAGTGGTACACGAAAGAAGGAAAAACCATGAGAAACGGCCCAGAACCCGAGAAATGGGACCCCTTCCTTGCCCGTTGATTTGAGCATTGATGCGACTCTCATCGCTGTGCCCTCTTCAACACTACGCTCTCTGCTATCTAATCACTCGCCACGTATAGACCTGCGGCGAGTGATTAGATAGTCGGTGGGCGTTCCCGCCAACTGCGCCAAATGCTAGATCGCCGGGTCAAATCTTTCGCTGCCAATTGCGTGTCAGTCCGCACCCTCAGGTCCGCCTGTCTCCCCACTAGGCAATTTTTCCCTTCTTCGACCTTCTTTCCTATTGTGATCCTCCTTTAAGAGCTCAACTCCCTCTTTCAACTGAATATCACCCATTGACTCTTTTCAATTTTAAAGAGGTCCAGAAGTTGGTGCCACTCGTCAGAGGGTAACTGGCGTAGATGATCTTCGTAACGCATTCACACCCGCACTGTTCACAATTTCCGATTGTCGATGAAGTTCTAAGGCATCCGGTTGTGGGTTGAGTCAAAAACACAACAGTCGTTGTTCGCCTAATAAGGCACATTTCTCGGTGACTTTTTCCTGTCACTCAGCTAACCTACTGTTCTTTGAAATGAACACTACAAAGACGAACATTGCAGAGTTGGCAGACCGAGATTAGATCCCTGAACGAATTGCCGTCCTTGGGGGCTATTCATACTTATATATTTAGCAAATCGAGGACTCACGGCGTATCGCAGTCACTATTTGTCAATCCGATTAAAAAACTCGCACAACAACAGCTCAGCAAGGAGCGTCCGTACCGTATAAATAGCCATGTGATGTTTCATTCAGTTGGCACCCTTTAAAAGGGCGTCTCTACACAACAGCAATTGACAGTGCATTCCACTAAGTTCTGTTCTCGCTTGAAAGCTTGACAGACCAGTTCAACTTAACACATTGAATAGCAAACAT